GATGTTGCACCATGTTCAGGTATCCCCTTTCCCTGAAATATTCAATACATAACATATCAATTACAGATCAAAGTAAATATAAAATATGATTGAACATAAGGTGAAAATCATACCATAATAGGAACTATATCTACAAGATGTGTTGGCCAAGTCACATAAGTGCCTATAGCCCCTCCCAATGTGATGATATCCTCATCAAGAGGAATTGGAAACAATGTATTGTCTTCAATTATAGTATCAATTGCGACATTCACATGATTGAGAGGGATACATGCATTATGCAGCATGACATCCGATGTGTTGTGCATCGTACCAAAACCCACTACTCGCGTAGATGGGATATCCAGGAAAAGTTTGCAACTACTGGTTACCTAAATGTTATTTAAAACATATAATTAGTTAATGAATATAATTAAACTAAAGATCAAATAAATTAAAATTAGTTAATTAAATTACCCTTGGAATGGGAATGTTGTGTCTAGAATGCGTGCAACTTTCACTGACCATAGAAGGTACATCGCCAGTTTATTGATGCTCCTCAGGCTCTTTATTTTTCTTTGAACGTTCTAATTCAATGAATCATTTTGTGAGCTCATCTAATCGGCTCTCCAAATCTAACATAACAACTTTGGTTGCACGCTTTTTATAGAGTTTTAATGTATGTTGCTAACCCCAAATCCAGCACCCCATATACGGCTAGAGTACCGAGACAGTCCTAGTGCCTTATCAAGTACCGCTTGACTATCCGGGGTCTGCATCAAACATGGCCTTTCTTTTAGGGTAACCTGACACATCAAGAAAAAACATGATATTAATTCATCACATTGATAAAGAAAGTATGGAAATCAAGTTTAATTAAATGTTAAACACTTTCAACACTGTTTGCTACTTCTTGAACTTGTTCGTTATTGATAACACCTTCCTTGTTCTTACGAGCATCCACCCACAGAACATCGAGATCCACTGCATCGAAAGATGTATCGCTTTTTTCGTGTTGCCAATACATAACCAATGTGAGGACCCAAATTCTACCCTTGAAATTGTTTTCTTTTTTATTTTAATCTTTCATGCTTAATTTTCCCATGTTACACCAAACATACGTTTCCTTTAACCTTTTAATTCATTCATTTCTTTAATTATATAATAACTCTAATCATATAACTTCAGTTTCATACCATAATACCCTTAATTGCATAAAAACATAATTCATATTTCTATCTCCCGATAACCACCGCATACAACTAACTATGAGTTTCCAAAAATACCTATAGCTACAAACATTCAGAGTTACAATTATCCAAAATTATAATTGTCATGGTTAACAAATACATAATTCCGCAAATATTCAATCATGATGTAAAATGTGCAATAAAGAAATCCAGATTAAAAATTTCCTAAAGCTCCAAGTCAAGCATCCTTATTTTATCCAATTACCTGCAATAGGATTATCATAAACAATACATGGAAACACAAAGGAGTAAGTCTTACATTCAACGTAATTCAAATGATAATCCACATTAAATAAGGTTAGATAAACACTTACATCGTGACATATAAATAATACTTTGACATATACATTCCATCTTGTTATCTTCATCATTCTGCATTTTACTGAAACTCACCGATATCCATTCCTCATATCCATACATAATTTCATCCTTTCTTTTCATATTCATCTATCCCAATTATGTTTATCTTAAACCATTAATCTTACCACATGGAGTAAGTCAGACATTGCTACGAATGGCCAATACCACAAGGGCAAGTCATACATTGCTACGAATAGTCAATACCACAAGGGCATGTCATACATTGCTACGAATAGCCGTTACCACAAGGCAACTCATACATTGCTACGAATAGCCAATCCCACAAGGGCAAGTCATACATTGCTATGAATAGTCGTTACCACAAGGCAACTCATACATTGCTACGAATAGCCGTTACCACAAGACAACTCATACATTGCTATGAATAGCCATTACCACAAGGCAACTCATACATTGCTACGAATAGCTGTTACCACAAGGCACCTCATACATTGCTACAAATAGCCGTTACCAAAAGGCAACTTATACATTGCTACGAATAACCGTTACCACAAGGCTACTCATACATTATTACGAATAGCCATTACCACAAGGCAACTCATGCATTGCTACATCACTTGAGCCAAAGTCGCTAATCCATCATGGTCGGCTAAAAACGTGTTTTCTTTTCATTGATACACCATCAACTCATAAACAATAAATCCACAAACCATTATTATAAACATACCCATATATGTTTATAATAAATAAGCGACTCGCAACTTGATCATTTTCACAACCAGAAAATCCACACATTTTCCATACTACTCACTTTCATTTTGACTGCCAAATGAATCACTTCAACATAATATTCTACCTCAAAGTTCAATGCTTGTGCAACACCATTCATCACAATGACCTTCAAGCATCTTGATCAGCCTCAATTACTACTTTGACCGTAAGTTATTTACTTCTTAGCATAAGTATACTAACAAATGCAAACAAAAGAGGTTAACCTTTAGCGACTCATACACGTAAGAATACCAGGCTTAGTCTCTTCAAAACACACAAGACACCTTTCTTTACATTTTTCCTCTATTAGTATAATATTTCCAAAACCAATACTTCGTGGCCAACAACATTCCATTTACACGTTCATATATCTTTTACATTACTCTTCAAGCTATTACCAAAATAGTTAACATTTTCTTCTATAATTCATATGTCACAAAACAAATTACCGGATATTAACAACTAATCTCCAAGAGATATTTCACCTATAGTATATATACCCATAATATATATTCTAGCATGCATATTCATTCTTTCCAAAGCATTTTTATTTCCCCAATGACAACCAACCTTAAATTTACTCTGGACCACATCCGTCCAGTTTACACCACAAAGATAATCCACTACCACTTCGGGTAGGCCCATAACACACGATAATCCACTATCACTTCGGGTAGGTCCACAACACATTTCTCACAAGCATGTTAATTCATACATATACCATGTTCACATCATCTCATATATAATGGAGACACTTATCCTTCACCTTATTTAAATTTCTAGACCCTTATGTATTGCAAGCAAACTCATATGCAGGAATATTTCAAGATATGCATATTCATTCCCCGAATTAAATCTAATCGGGACTATGGCAAGCAGATTAAATTCACGGTGAATGTTTTACCGTTTACCACCACCCGACATTGGGTACAACGTCAACACCACTACTGGCACATTAATTGGGGTAGATACAACCTAGTAGAAAGACAACGACTCTTTTTGTACTCAAGTCGGTCTACACATTAAACAGATACCAAGGAGTGTGTCGCTCCCGAATCAACAACACTCTTTTTGTACTCCGCACCACTCATGGTGAACACTCTGCCTATTGTCCTAGGCCTCTCAGCCTTCACAAAATTCACACGCCGATTCAACTTCGGACAAAACTTCTTTATATGCCCCTGTTCCTTGTAGTGAAAGCAACTATTTCCAGTGCTGGGACAAATGGTCCCTATGTGTCTCCGCCCACACTTACCACACAAAGGATAGGAGTCGGGCTGGAATCCTCCAACCGTAGGCTTCGACCCTTGGTAGCCACGGTTACGATGGTCATTAGGTGGAGCATAAGGTCGTCGGTCATCCTTCACTTTCTCTTTACCTCTCCCATGCATATGGTTGTAATGACCCGAAATTCTACCCTGGAAATTTTTTTCCTTATTTAATCCAATTCCATGCATTTAACGATAAATCATAATTACCAAGTAAATAAATTTATTTAAAAGATCTTTCTCTCCATCCTCACACCCGATCTATGAACCAAAAGTACATACACAATCCGATAGCAGAAAAACATAATTCATGTTAGTATAACCTAGTAACTACCGCATACAATTAGCTATGAGTTTCCAAAACACCCATAGCTACATATATCCCGAGTTACTAGTATCCATGATCAATATCATGTACAAAAATAGTATTCATAGTACAATTAGTTACTTCAATTACAATCAATTAAATTTACAAAAGAATGGATAAAGAGACATCAAAATGAAGGTCCCTAATCTCCTACTCAAAAATCATCCTTCCTCCGTCCACCTACCTGCAATGGGATTAACATTTACCATGCACAAACAACACAAAGGAATAAGTCATTAACTCAATAAAACTTCAATGTAAGTTAATTCACATTTAATAGGTTTAAACAACGATATAAATTAAATCCACTTAAAACCATTTTCGTCATCTGTACTTTTGAAAAACCATGCTACATAACTCGAGCTAGAGTCGCTAACCCATTCTGGTCGGCTGAAACGAGTTTTATTTTCATTGGCACTCCACCAATACATAAACCATAAATCCACCCGTCATCACTACAAACATACCCATATATATTTGTAATGACTAAGTGATTTACCATTTATTACTTTGTTTCCGAGTTTTATTTCTATTGGCACTCCACCAATAAATAGACAATAAACGCACCCAACATCATTACAGCATAGCGTATATGCCTGTAACTACAAAGTGACTTACAGTTTATTGTTTTATCCGAGTTTTATTTCCATTGACACTCCACCAATAAATGGACAATACATGCACCCAACATCATTAAAGCATAGCGTATATGCCTGTAACTACAAAGTGACTTACGATTTATTGTTTTATCCGAGTTTTATTTCCATTAGCACTCCACCAATACAAAAATGATAAATACACCCGACATCATTACAAACATATCCACGTATGCTTATAACTACAAAGTGATTTACATTTCATGATTTCATTTCGAGTCTTATTTCCATTGGTATTCCCCCAATACATAAACCGTAAATTCACTTCTCACCATTATCAACATACCCATATATGTTCATAATGACTAAGTGATTCACATTTTATTCATTATCCATAATAGAAAATCCACGCATTTTCCAACACAATGCATAAATTAAAGACTTATCCTTACCTCGGTGAGTGTTGGGTTTGGTTTTTGGCGACTTCGCAAGTTCCACCGGCACCACTTCCAAACTTAGGATCTTTCCTCATTCCCACCACATAACACAATGTTAGTCATTCATTCCAAATAGCAAATAAATAACTTATATTGCATTATTCAACCATACAAGATATTTATCATATTTTCAATGGTTCTATACTATTTTCATTATGAGTTTTCAACCATCTAAAACATACATATCATCTCATATTTTAACATTATAAAGCAACTCGTCTTCTACCTTTAGAGTTTTACCCATTCTTCCTCTCTAACCACATTTTCTCTCTAGGGTTTTGGGGTTTCCATTAGTCAACCCAAAACCCTTTCCATTCTTGGAATACTAACTCAAAACCAAGAGTTTACATGGTACGAGTTACATAAAACGAACCATAACTCGAAAGAGAGAGTTTCCATGGTTTTACCCACTTTGAGAAGAGACTCATAATACCAAAAATGAGTTCTCAAGGGAAGAAGAGAGTTAGGATAGAGAGCTTTACCTCTTCTCAAGCTCTTGAAGAAGAATCAAAGCTCCTAGACCTTGGGAATGCTCTCTTCTCTCACCTCTCTTCAATTCCTAACCTAAAAATGTATTTGGGGTTTCCCTCATTTAATGTTTTCGTCGGGTTCTCGCTTAAGCGAGCTTTCTCTCGCTCAAGCGAGAAAATCTCACCCATTTTAAAAACTCAACTCTGATCCTCTCGCACAAGCGAGGGATTCTCGCTCAAGCGAGAATCTCACAGTGTCAACAGCCCCAAAATGCCATTTCTCGCCCAGGCGAGACAACTCTCGCTCAGGCGAGAATTCTCCAGTATAGCACAGGATTTCACCCTCCCAAGTGAACCTCTCTCGCCCAAGCATGAATCTCTCGCTCAAGCGAGGATCCCAGGACTGATACTATAATTTTAAAGACTTAAAATTTGGGGTGTTACAATGGTTGCGTTGAGGTCCATAGTTTCGGGGAGGAATTGATTTGGGTGTCGCCACCTCATCCGCCTTCAGGTCATCCTCGTACATCCTGCACTTGTTGACCGAAGTAGCAAAATCAGCAATCTCTTGATGCCCGAACATCCTTTTCAGCCTGGGCCTTAAGCCCAATTCAAATTTAGAGCACTTGGACCGTCCGTCCATTTCCAACTCAGAGTAGGGACAAAACCGAGCCAATTCCTCGAACTTAGCCGCATATTCCCCCACCAAAATGTCTCCCTGTTCCAACCTCAGAAATTCCATCTCTTTCTTCCTTTTTAGATCAGCGGGAAAATATTTCTGAAGGAACTTCTCTTTGACAGTACCCCAGACAATCACTTTGCTCTCCATTTCCATTTGGCGCCGGGTCATCTCCCACCAGTTTTTAGCTTCATTTGCCAGCATATAGAAAGCATAGGTTACCTTTTGGACATCGCTGCAACCCATGGCTCGGAATATCCTCTCCAAGCTTTGAACCCATTCATTCGCAACATCCAGAGCGAATCCCCCTTGGAACTGTTTAGGCTTCTGTTAACAGAACTCATCCACTCCCCAGTACTCAGCCGGTCCAGGTGGGACTAAAGGGTGTGAACTCGGACTGGGCGCTGCGTTCTGATTCAGACTCTACAAATTCTCATTAACTTGTTGCAATGCAGCTACCATCTAAGCTAAGAGTCATTTGGGACATTCTAACTAGTTCATCTTCCTATACCAGCCATGTGTACCTGTACTGATCCACTTGTCAGTAAACCAATTTTAACTATGCAAGGATCACATAATCACATAGCAATTTGTACAATCCAAATAATTCAAGCACATAAAGGTCACAAAGAAGCACGTAAGGCCAAACCCTAGGCCGCAGGATTAACTATGCTCTGACACCATATTGTAAGGACCCAAATTCTACCCTTGAAATTTTTTTCATTTATTTTAATCTTTCATGCTTAATTTTCCGATGTTACACCAAACATACGTTTCCTTTAACATTTTATTTCATTCATTTCTTTAATTATATAATAACTCTAATCATACAACTTCGGTTTCATACCATAATACCCTTAATTGCAGAAAAAAAATAATTTATATTTCTATCTCCCGATAACCACCGGATACAACTAACTATGGGTTTCCAAAAATACCCAGAGCTACAAACATTCAGAGTTACAATTATCCAAAATTATAATTGTCATGGTTAACAAATACATAATTCCGCAAATATTCAATCATGATGTAAAAAGTGCAATAAAGAAATCCAGATTAAAATGTTCCTAAAGCTCCAAGTCAAGCATCCTTATTTTATCCAATTACCTGCAATGGGATTATCATAAACAATACATGGAAACACAAAGGAGTAAGTCTTACATTCAATGTAATTCAAATGATAATCCACATTAAATAAGGTTAGATAAACAGTTACATCGTGACATATAAATAATACTTTGACATATACATTCCATCTTGTTATCTTCATCATTCTGCATTTTACTCAAACTCATCGATATCCATTCCTCATATCCATACATAATTTCATCCTTTCTTTTCATATTCATCTATCCCATTTATGTTTATCTTAAACCATTAATCTTACCACATGGAGTAAGTCAGACATTGCTACGAATAGCCAATACCACAAGGGCAAGTTATACATTGTTATGAATAGCCAATACCACAAGGGCAAGTCATACATTGCTACGAATAGCCAATACCACAAGGGAAAGTCATGCATTGCTACGAATAGCCGTTACCACAAGGCAACTCCTACATTGCTAGGAATAGCCAATACCACAAGGGCAAGTCATACATTGCTACGAATAGCCGTTACCACAAGGCAACTCATACATTGCTACGAATAGCTGTTACCACAAGGCAACTCATACATTGCTACGAATAGCTGTTACCACAAGGCAACTCATACATTGCAACGAATAGTCGTTACCACAAGGCAACTCATACATTGCTACATCACTTGAGCCAAAGTCGCTAACCCATCATGGTCGGCTAAAAACGTGTTTTCTTTTCATTGATACACCATCAATTCATAAACAGTAAATTCACGCAACCATTATTATAAACATACCCATATATGTTTATAATAAATAAGCGACTCACAACTTGATCATTTTCACAACCAGAAAATCCACACATTTTCCATTACAATTGCGCAAGTTAAAGACTTATCCTTAACTTGGTGAGTGTTGGGGTCGGTTCTTGGGTAACTTTACAAGTTTCCTTCGCTACCTCCTCCAACTTTAGGATCTCTTCTCAAGCTTCTAAATGATTCCCACTAGTCCTTGCTCTCAAAATCACCTTCTTCTCTCATCTCTCTCAATTTCTAACCCTAAAAGTGTTTGAGGGTTTCTATTTTAAAGTGAAATCGTCGGGTTCTCGTTCAAGCGAGCTCATTCTCGCTCTAGCGAGAAAATCCTGCCTTTTTAAAATTTCAGATCTCTCGCTCAAGCGAGGGATTCTCGCTCAAGCGAGGATCCTTTAGTGTCAACACACTCTCCCTCGCCCAGGCGAGCCAAATCTCGCCCAGACGAGAATCCCAACAAATCATGGGAGTAAATACTGGGCCTCTCGCTTGGGCGAGGCTCCTCTCGCTCAAGCGAGAATCTTGCAGTATTCCCCAGATTTTCCTTAGTTACCAAGTTTTAGGAAAAATAAACTTAGGGTGTCACAACCAATAATAATTTAATTATTAGATATGGATACAAAACCTAATCAATTAATAATGTACTTTATTACGCACAAGTTAACAATACTTACAATTATTTCCTCGACTCCTCTATATCCCGATCGAGAAGCTCTATATGGATACAATGGTTTAGATGCTCTCTTGCGATTTTCATGACTTACTTTCTTAAAAAACAAACAACATTAATATCAACAATGATATATATATATATATATCCAAGAGCATAAGAATAAAGTCAATACAAAGAATATTATGTTACCAAGAAAGTGTCGTCTTGTGTGCGAATAATGACAAATTCCTTCAAATCCGTCTCATCAATGAGATTTGCATATTTGGTTGGAGGCTTGAGGTTGACATTTCCATCGGCATCTCTGAGACATTTGTCAGCATTAGTTCTGAATTTTCGGAGAGTCTTGCCAAAAAATTTGAGGATGTAATGCTTGTGCTCCTCACCAATATCAAAAGTTGCCTAAAACAAATATATAAATTAAATTGCATGAAAAATACAAAAATATACGTTGCATGAAAACACATAAATTGCATGAAAACACAAAAAACATATACATTGCTTGAAAACACAAAAAATACATACATATTGCTTGGAAAGACATATTCATTGCATGAAAACATAACAAAACATATGCATTGCATGTTAACACAAAAATACATATAAATTGCACGAAAACACACACACACACACAGAGATATATATATATATATATATGTATATATATATATATATTTAATGAAAACACAAAAACAAAGATATTGTTACAATGCATGAAAACTTGCTGTCATATCAGCCCAAACACGTTCCGTCGCTGAGTACAGCCTAACATCAGTCCAAGAATTGAATGTTATCGACCCATTCTTCCTAAAAAATACTCCAATGTAGCTTACTAAGGTGTTTCCACCTTTATTGTTTAATGGTTGTTCTTTCGTGTTCCATTGAACTAGTAACTTGACATTCTTACTCCTTTCATGAATAACCTTCCTCATGGAAGTGACTCCACCTGGAGTACGTTTATGAGAGACTGGGGTTTGAGAAACAAGTTCGTTTTCTTCATTTTGGGAAGTCATTGTTGAAGGTTTGAGAGTGTTTCAGAAGGTATAAGGTTTGAGAGTGTATGAGGTTTTGAGAAGGTACGTAACAAAACGTTTATAAATCAACTTTTGATATTTTACAAATTAAAACATCGTAACAAATCAACATCGCACTTTTAAGGGTACGCTGTTGCATATACATGTGTTTCCATATTCAACAATGCTCATTTCAAAATGCGTTGTTGAAATGACCTATTTAACATAGCACCTGCAAAGAAGCGTTGTTGCATAGGTATGCGTTTACAGCGCACCTTCAAAGAAGCGATATTGCATAGGTATGAATTAACATCACACCTTTAAACAAGCGATGTTGAATATAATAGGACTAAGTTAAAAACATGAGTTGTTACACCTTCCAATTGTCATCATGACTACTCTTAGATTTACGACACATCCAATCACTTGAACGTAACAATAAAATTAACATAGATATTTTAAAATTACATAAATATAATCACTTAGATATAAAATTATGTAAACATAATCACTTAGATATAAAATTACTTAAACATACTAACTTAGATATAAAATTATTTAAACATAATCACTTAGATATAAAATTACTTAAACATAATAACTTAGAAATAAAATTACTTAAACATAATAACTTAGATATAAAATTATTTTTCACTTTATGATATTAAAATAAGATAAGAGCAACATCTTCAACATCGCTCCTTTAACTAGGCATATTCATGTGTTTGCATCTTCAACAACGCACCTTTAACAATGCGCTATTGCACATTCATGTGTTTGCATCTTCAAAAATACTCATTTAATTGTGTTTTGTTGCATATACATGTTTTCCATATTCAACAACACACCGTAAAAGAAGTGTTATTGAACATATACCAGCGCGTTTTGAATCATGCACTGTTACACCTGCCAAATGATTTTATGGATACTCTTAGACTTGTAAGACTGAGATTGCAACTAAGAGGGGGGGGGGGGGTGAATTAGTTGTTGCAATAAGTATGGCCAATTTTTCCGCAATATCAAAGTTAACGTGCAGCGGAAATAATATGCAGAAAAATATTGACTTAGGAAGGATAAATAAATAATAAAGAGAAGGGAAAGAGAGTACGGATGTGTTTTATACTGGTTCACCTTCTTGTCCACCGAAGGCTACGTCCAGTACTCTTGACGCACAAGAGATTCCTTTATTAAATATAATGAGTTGCAATTACAAATATCTCACCCCGAGATTTCCTTGTACCTTACACACTCACTTATATCTAATCCCCTTGGAAAACTCTATTCCAAGTAACACCCTTAGTAAACACTATACCAAGTCACTCACCCTTTCTCTTCACACCCTTGTGAAAGAAAGTAAACTTTGCAAAAGTGAAGAATGTACAATTTGGCTTGGATTGCCTTACAAGTGTATATGATAATTTCTATAACTTGCAATCCAATAAAAACTCTTTATACTTGAGATAATAATGCTCTTTAACAATATGAAAAACACTTAGAAGCAACTTCAAAATATCTTTGAAAGTTTAAGAGCAGGTTGCTTGAAAAGTGTAAGTAAAATCAGGAAGTGTGAGAGCTTTTGAGAGTTTCAAGTAAAAGTTTGTAATCTGAGTTGTTGTATATTGTTGTATGTTGTGAGAGTGTTTTAATGCCTTTATATAGGCTTCCAATCAACCACAATACCCTTAGGCATGAGTAGGTTTCGTTTGGAATGAAAAGCAATTAGTTTGGAGTGAAACCTCTTCATTTGAAATATGAAAAACTGATGCAACAGCTCTCAGTAATTGATTATTGCAAATGGGTAATCGATTACCCAACAATTTTGTTAACAACTTTTTGAAAATTCACACAATGTAATCGATTACTGGATTTGAGTAATCGATTACTCAACAACACTGTTTGACAACTTTGTGAATTTGCCTTAGTGTAATCGATTACACTACTTTGAGTAATCAATCACCCTGTTTTCTAAAAATGGTAATCTGTTACTCCAAAGTCTGTAATGGACTACTCATAGCTGTTAGAGGTTTGAAAACTCTTTTCTCACTCATGTAACTTGTTAGTCAAGTATGGTAATCCGTTACATGTTGTTTTTGAAAATTATTTTTATTCACACTTAGTTTTTCCTGATTTTCTTGAAAACAATTTTGAGCATTATTAACTAAGTAAATAAAGGTGTTGTAAGGATAGAAGTACCTAAAGACTTAGACTCTAAATCTTGAAGCTTTATCTTCGATAGTCTTCGTAGGTCTTCTTCCTTTCTTATTTTTGTGATATTGGTGTCTTCATCAAAACCGTGCCAAGGTCAGGAGCAAGATCTTCTTCACAAGACTTATGACACATGCAATCACTTAAACACAAGAGTTAAATGTTAATTGAAAATACCAAATGATTTTATGGTATATATTGAACATTGAACAAAAGAGCTAAATGTTAATAGTACAAACACCAAAAACACATTAAACAAAAGAACTAAATGTTAATTGAAAATTGTACCGTTGTATATATTAAAAATTAATTCAACATTACATTTTATATATATTATATTGAACATTAACATTACATTGAACAAAAGAGCTAATTAAAATCTATACATTGCTACAATCCATATCTAATTAAATCCTTAAACAACTCTTTAACATCAAACTTGACTGGAGTATGACAATGCTGAACGATTACGTGCATATATAAAATAGAATTTTCCAAATAGAGAATGTTAATTTCCAAATAGAATGTTCATTGCAAAATAAAAATCACCCAAAATAGAAATTAACAACAAAAAAGATAATTAAACAACAAAAAAGAAATTAACATAAACAATTGTTCAATCGGAGAAATCATCTTTGTCCAAAATAGAATTAAGATATTCCACATAGTCTAGGTCATCGTCTCCTGTAGCCGTTAATAATTCCCTTCAAGAATAATCATAAGATTTAATTATGTTACAAAAATGAATATGGACTATGGATGAATAATATAATATGAATAATGAAACAGAAAAAATGAATCATCTCCGCAATATTATTCCATCTTGAAATATTAGCTTTTAAGGATGATTACAAAATCGATATTCCTCATCATTGAGAACAACATCGAAGTTTTCAACAATATAGTTAAAACCATCTTTAAGTTTATTTTCCAATTGTGAAATATAAACCTCCTTCACAACAATCTCAATTTTATCCCCTGTAACATAAACATAATATGATCGATCTATCTAAATTAATAAGGAATAAAGAATGCGCAATGAAAATCATATATTATGGAGAAAAAATTAAATAAAAAACTAAAGCACATTCGAATCAATGAAAATCATAAAAAATGATGGATCTCCACATATTTCAACCCGCAAAAGAGTTGAATTTTTAACTTTAATCTTTCAGATATTCTTAGAAAATAGACTATTATCTTTAATGAAATTCATTCATTCAATGATGTATAAAAGTAGCTATAATGAATTCCAATCTTTCCATGACTAAATATATAGATTCAAAGAATTATGGGGAAGTGATATCTTTAATGAAATCCTTGGAAGGTGTGCGAAACCCACATCACGAAGCAAAAGAATTTTGGGGAACAAATACACTTTAATACATGAGAGAATGTTGTTTAGAAATTGTAAAATTTTAAAATCCTATCAAATCAACAACGCACATTTAAGAAAGCGCTGTATACGATATCAAATCAACAACACTCATTTAAGAATGCATTGTAGATGATATCCCATCAACATCGTACAATAAAAGGTTTTGTTGAATAGATTTCAGTTAACAGCGTAGTAAAAAAGGAGCGCTATTAAATAAAACTAATTCAAGCTAGCGCTTATTCAACAACGCTCATTCACGAATGCACTGTTGATGTCATATCCGCTTATCAATATTAATTGCGCTCGCTTAATCAGACGCTATTTATTTTCCTCCGGCTCGTATTTAACAGTGTAGTTCTAGGGAGCGTTGTTGAAGGACCGTTATTAAATGTGATTTTTGGTGTAGTATTCCGCTCAAGTTCTAGTTCTATATTTCTTCTCGATGATTTGACATGAAAGATATTGGCTATATATGATGATAATATTATTCATCATCTTTAGTATGTATTATGTATCTTTAAGTATATAAAGTCTCCCATACTAAAGTCTATCTAAGATTTTTCCAACATTGATATGTTATGGTAGCTCTCCACTATTCTCATAGCCCTAAAACAATGAGACGCTCCCCAATCACATATGGGTCCAACAATATATATTATC